CAATTATTGTGCCTAGCGAGGGCGNCTCCTTAAGAAAAATCGTATACTATGTATCGATGAAGCAACTGCTAATGTCGATCTGAAGTTAGTTAACAAATTATTTATATCATCTGGATTTACGCATTATTGTTAGTGTATATTATTTACTCGTATAAGCGTAATTTGGAAATTATTTTAAACTTTACGGACTTGTTGAGTATTGTAGTATAAAACTGTAAAGTATTTATTTTTTGATTAATCGAATTAGAACTGACGCTATTATCCAACGGACAATTCGTAAACAATTTATTGAGTGCACTGTACTAGTTATCGCTCATCGTATAAGTACTATAATAGATTGTGATCGAGTTATGGTAAGTAGGATTTAGTACAGTAAATCGCTTATTATATAAAGTAATGAAATATACTAATTTACGTATTTTAAAAATTATGGAAAAGGTGTTAGATGCAGGAAAACTTGTCGAATTCGACTCACCTCATAAACTATTAGAATTAGATAGCTATTTCAGTAAGTTAGTAGCCGAGACGGGTATTGAAGAAAGTAAAAATTTACGTGTACAAGCTGAGTATCATTATAACCATCCAGAGGTATTTGCAAGATCAGATAAAGCAGATATAGCGGAAATTAATTTAGAAACGGATATTTCATTTAAAGGCGATCGACGACAGGTAAAATTACTAGAAATAGGAATATACTTTGAGACAATAGATTATTTTTGTGTCAGTTAAATTAATAAACGTTTTTATATATATTTCTAGGCGGATACATATGTTACCCACGAGGCTAATGTTTAACTGTTAATGTCTTATAAGCACATTGTAATCGATGAGGCTAGTAGTTAGTAAAGAAGCCGCGGTGTTATCTCTAATTATTATTTCATTTTAAATAAATCGCTTATTTGTCTCATATCTCATATTTCATTTTGAAAACGTGCTATCATCGTTATCATTGCACCTTGGATACTAAAAATGATGTCTATCTGCCTCAAACGAGTTAGGTTATTTCACTTTATAATAAATTGATTATTTATCCCATTTTGAATATTTCACTTTTAAACGTGCTATTATCGCTATCATTGCACCTTTGATGTTAGAAATAATGTGTATCTGTCTCAAACGAGTTAGGTTCAGCTAACTATTGTATAACTTTTCGAAGATCGTTTTGATTTCAGTTGTAGTTTATTTGTAGAGAATAGTGCAAATATGACTATTGTTATGATTTAGGATATTAAATGTGACAATGTAATCGATTTAGAAATAGACAGTTATAAATATTATGGTAAAATTATAATATTCAACCGTTAATGGATTTTCATTAACGACTGTATAGATTTAGGTTAATTACTATGCAATATACGTGTAATAATTGAAATAGCAGTTGTCACACTTTTATGCAATTTATTAGGTACTAAGCGGATTTAACTTGTTTATTGGAATAAGTTCCTGTTGGCACATAATATATTAATTAACACATATATATGCTCTAAAATAATAAATATAATTACATGTGCATAGAAAAGGCTATATTACGGTATAGGAAATAATTAACAGATTGCACAGGTGGAGTTTGGCACAAGTATGTAAGGAAGTGCATTTATACTTAAGGGAGAAGAATAATTTAAGCTGTGTAGCGGAACAACAGTTGCATAAAGCTAGCTTTGTAATATTACCTAGAAGCTTCTCTAGACTGGCTCTTACTGTTGACTAAGGCCCTTTGCGAAGGTAGTGAAAGTAGTAACGCTTGGTAGCAGTCTTACAGTACAGTAGAAGGTTTTACTGGTAATCACAGAAAAAGAATTCATTGTAACAAATGGCGTTGTGACAACTATTAATAAATTGACTTACGAAAATATATCGATTTTTGAAAACTCTGATAGCATAGATACTTCTGAGCTTTCTAGATCATGATATGACTTTTTGTAGAGGCAGATAAGTAATCTAGATATGAGGAAACTATATATAACGACTGATGATATACTTATGGATAAAGCTAGAGACTACGAAGAAACTTGAAACAATGTAGAAA